CCTACTGCCACGTAATCAAGAATCGATGTAACGACCCTGTTATTGGAAGCTCAGTGAGGCGCTTCTGTGCAAGAACCTGTGTGGTATGCGTAGGTATGAACGGCAAATTATAGATCACTTCGAGTTATTGAACAAACAAACAAACAAGCACATAAATGAACAAACTGGGTATTAGCCAGGTTACTTTTGAATTCTAGACCCAAGGCAAGCAAATAGTTCACGTTATTGTGGGTACTGCGTATAATAAGCTTACTGGATAAACAGAGAGGCTCAACGATAAAGAGGTCTCTTCAAGCTACAGTTAAATGACCGGGTGAACTCTCAGCTGTTGACAAAATGGTGAAGAATACTGAAAGGCTCTCATGGCTGCTTTAGCCCAATACTTTAGAGTGAGTTTAAAGTACTCAGTTAACGGTAACTGCTGGGATTTTGCGCGTTAGCTCTGAGGATTAAGTGAATCCGGAAGCAAATCCTTATTTATTTTTTTTCTGACATTAAGCAATAACTGCACGATAGATTTTGTGTCACCATCTTTATATGGCGTGACGTTTCTTGGTGACCAGTATCACATAAAAAAGCTCTCCTGCTCAGCACCTTACCATGAAAAGATACCCAGGTTCAATATATTTATCTTTCGTTCGTTTTCTTCAATTTCTAGTCACACCACCAACTATACCACCGACAACGATTCCTCGTACAGAGCAGCCTATTGACCAGGGTAAGATGACAGTTCAAATGTCACAACAGCCAACAGTTTCATGTGTTCCCCAGTCCACCCCCTCTAGGGAGGATACTTATTCGAAACAGGGCGCCTATTAGGGATAGGGTGCCCTTCTTTAATTTTTTGGTTTTATTATTATTTTTTTTTTTTTGAGGAACAGCAAAATGTGGAAAACAAAGCCTTGATGATTATTTGAAAAGGAATAATAACAGGAACGGCAAGACCACTGTTTTGGCAATGAGGCCTTAAGAGAGCAATTGAAGGAGGGTGAACCAAGCTTGATCTCAATGCAGACGTACTTTAACAGTGCTATCACTGAAAGAGAGTAAGGTTGCTTATTAGGATGGGGGCGCTTGATAAAAATAAAAACCTTAAAGGGAGGGCGCTTATTGGAACGAGGGCGACCAACTCCTTAGGATTTACGATCCCGTCACAGAATGTTCAGCAGATGGCTGGGGATCGAATCTCAACCACTGGGAAGTCAAATTTCTCTACATTCCACCATCTTGACACGCGATGTTAAGTTCTCTCTCTTGGTCCTTTTCAGTTTCACGGGAAACAAACGAACTCTTCCTCAGATGATCTCTAGGCGAGAAAATAAACATTACACTTTTCCCTTACCTAGGAAGCGTGGAATGTGGCAGGAAAGCGATCGGTAGCAGAATTGTGGGCGGCACAAACGCAAGGCCTGGGGCTTGGCCATGGCAGGTGACGATGGACTACAAGGGACATCCTGGCCCTCACTGGTGTGGTGGCTCAATAGTGACCCCGCATTGGATAGTTACCGCTGCTCATTGCTTTGGTAATGGCGATGACCCCAAGAAGTACAGCATTGTTGCAGGTAGAGGAGATTTGTTTTCATTTTCATTTTGTGGGGTTAGGACACTGGATTTGCTGTCTAACAGTGTTTCTACCCAAACAGCACCAATGACTGGGTTCTAGCGAGCTATTAGCATTAGGTGGTCACCTTTGTTGGATCATTATCTCGTACAGTTCTTCATATAAGCTTGAGAACGGCAATTAGTTCTAATCAATCCTGTCGGTGGGAAAAGGGGAATGATCCTAGACTATGAGCATTCCCCCCTTTTCGGCGAAGTCTGTCGCGCGAATTAAAAAAAATCAGTTTGAGCGCCCTGCAGAACTCTCTTAGAGCGCCTCACTTCCAGATATCGTCGCGACGCGCTGAAATCAATTTTTTTCACTGATCTTTTTTTTTTTAATTGGCGCGACGGACCACCCCGAAAAGAAGACGCAACTAAAAGGATCCAGAAGTTACTTCCATTTATTTTTTTGCAGTGCAATTCTTTTCTATCATTATCTCAGGATTAATGTCAGTATCAGAGCATTTGCGCACCAACCCCTCCCCTAACCCAACATTAACGCCAAGTTGCTATCAGTTGACTGTTTTTGGGTAAAGGGGAGGGGTAGGTTCGCAGTTGCCCAGATACTGACATTAATTCTAATCTTTAAGGTGAACATGACCTTAACGCAGTGGACGGATTTGAACAAAATACGACAATTGAGGAGATCATCACACATCCCAAATATAACAGGATTGCAAATCATGACTACGATGTGGCACTAGTCAAACTGAAGAACCCCATTAAGTACAACAATCACGTGAGGCCTGTGTGCTTAGCTAAATCGGACTTCGATGCTGGAACGAATTGTTATGTAACTGGGTGGGGCTACACCTCTGAGGATGGAAATATTGCGCAGGTTTGTGATAAACAGACTAGTCCATCCAGCGTAATAACATGCCGATGTTACGATGAATAACTTGTAAACATATCTCAGTCGTTTAGTAGAAAGATGTGCAAGGCGAATTCCAGGCTGAATAACAACAAAATTGGCTGAAAATCATTCGGACAAAAATTTTAGATAAGAGCTTTCTGTGACAAAGTCGAATTCAGAACAACTATGTAATCAATTAACTATCATACTTTCAACATTTGTGTTACTCACCATTTCCAGATTTTGCAGCAAGCGAAAGTTCCTCTCGTGTCTCGCGAAACCTGTCAAGAAGGGTACGACGACTTGGGATACAAAATATCAACCCGCATGCGTTGTGCAGGCTACAGTGAGGGAAAAATTGACGCATGCCAAGGAGATAGTGGAGGGCCGCTAGTCTGCGTGAGGAACGACAAGTGGTATCTTATGGGTGTCATCAGCTGGGGACAGGGATGCGCGCGCAAAGGAAGATATGGGGTGTACGCTGATATGATGGATCTCAAGTTCTGGGTGCAACAGACCATCAACAAAGTATAATCATTAAAAATCGATTAGAAATGTGAACACGAAATATTGTTCTCCTTTGTTTTTTATTAACTATCGAGAATAAAACGGTTAAAAATACAAGGCTATCCAATGGTGTATTTACTATATAGGATTTAAGGACCTTGGAAATCGAATGACACAAATTTTCTTAAGTCACAGATCTTCATAAACGTAAATGGATATAACGTGAATCTCTCTTTCCTGGAACTCACAGGTTCTATTTGAGCCCCGTTAATGGCTCAGCTCACATATCGTAAAACAGGTTTTGGTTAGTCATCGTGGTAAATAACACTTTCAAAAGAGAATTGTAATCGTTTTTCTCTTTTGATGTGGTCACTTCGGATGTAGATCGTGACATTTCGACTTACTGGCAGTCTTCTTCAGGCGATGAGTTCGATTGAGTACGCGTAACCTATACTCTGTGGCGCTCAGCTGTGATTGAATGGAATTCCACGACTGCGATGGTACATCTTCGGATCAGATTCACTCTATGGTCCGCTACCGCATGGCACTCCTGCTGTTGTGGTTTTGACTCTTTTGACTTCGATACGTTTTCTCAGTCAATTAAATGATTCATCTTATTTTTGGCCAAACTCCCTGATTTTAACTGCAGTTAACCTGTAAAGTTTAATTCGTCACTCATCCACGAAAAGTAACTTTGAATTTTATTTCAATAATTATTTGCGAATGAAATAATTAGCCAGCTACCAAAATTACCAAAAACAAAAATAACAATTTCGTTTTCTTGAACCTCACCTATGTGCAGGTCTCTTAAACGTTCTTGGAAGCTATGGAACTTGATTGTATACAAAGGTCTCAAAGGCAAAAAAATTGTGGTTTCGGAAGCGGCACAACGAGTAAGGAATCAATCTCGACCTCATTTCTTCAATTTGCCTTGTTTTTATCCAATTTCCTTTTTCGTTATCTTTTACTCCATCTCCGCCTTACAAAGTTAAGTAGAATTGATTGCCCCTCGACGAATCCAAAGCGTTTTGATTCTATTCAGTACACTTATTCAGTACTGCGTTCGTTTTTGCAGTAACTATAATACTCCTTGTTTTCCACTATTTTCAAACACACATTCTGCCTTGCGCCAACCGCAATTATCCTGTTGCGTTGATGTCACGTAATTAAAGTGCGGCTCCGCTCCGTTGTGAAAGTGGGAAAAATACTTAAATAAACGTGAAAAGAGAAAAGATCCTAGCGAATTACCTGGGGAAAAAATGTACCAAGCAACATCCCAGCGGATTTATTTAAGGCTTACTCCTTTACTTAGTCGATGCAAGGCGGAAAATCAACTGACAGTGAATCAATCCGCCGAAAATTTGCTTGAGTCTTGAGGCTAAAATCATTGTGATTGTTGACTACGTGATCTGAAAGGAACTCGAATAATCTTATCAAGCGCGCAAAATATGCCGGGTGGGTAGTTTCCGCTTGAGGACTGAAAGGCATTGTGGATGGTATATTTGGGGGTGGATTTGAAATTGAACGACCGCCGACGGCTCGCTCGTGCTGTCTTTGTTTAATAACATTTTATTGTGTTCTTAGAAATACACAGGGTTTGTCCTATAGAGGAATTATAACATCAAAACATCAATGGGTAAGTGAGATCGCAAATCAAAGCCAATAATTAATTTTTACAATCCTCGAATACTTCGCGATTTTAAAGTTTAGAGCTCAGAGCATTTCGAGTTGTTTTCTTTCTGATGTGCTTTATCTTTTAGACAGGGAATCCTCGCTTCGCTGTTTTCGATGTAGGAAGGTTTGCGCAGGTGAATCGCTGCGAGTGAACGATCAGCTTTTTCATGCCGACTGCCTGGTTTGCTTGGGTAAGTAAAACAGAAACGAACGCAGATTTGGAGCGTAATTTTTGCTTCCAATCGCGTATCGCGTGTCATCGCTATTCATTCGGCACAGAAATTTGCATGTTTGAAATTCACGTCATTTTTTTGTCTTAAAAATGGACGATCTGTGGCGGTTCAAACAACTGTTTTCCGGGATTAGAATATTTGATATGTTTCGTCCAGAAATTAAGGTATCTACCGCGTATGATCGTTTAGTGTTTGTCGTCGATATGTGCCTGCGGATACCACATAAGGCCTGACATGACTACTTGCTTTAAAAATTGTCTTAAAAGGTTCGTATGGCAAATTGATATTTAAATAAATAATCAAATGGCTAGCGTCTGAGTGGTAAATCTTTTAAAGGCGATTATCAGATGTGACGCCTTATTTTCCGATCCGCTGTACTTTTCATTTCAAGATCTTGACCTAAGGTAAAAAGGCAATGAAATCGAATTTTCTCTATTGAAAATTGCACGAAACGTTGGCAAGGGCGCTCATTATTATTCATCATATTCATATGTAACTCAAGTCGTTGTTTATATTTCCACCCTCAAAGCTAACAAAATAAAACTACAGGTATTGTTTGGCGCCATTAAGCGTTGTTAAATACATTGTAATTATTTGTTCGCCGTTTTTAGTTCGTCGTTAATTTTAAGTGTGTTGGAGCCTGTGCCAGTTTGTGTAGACAAGCTGAACTAAAAGTTTAACGTGCGTGTTAACTGGTCCGAGAAATGCATATTAACGGTTTAACGAATGTTAATAGCTTCATTGTTTCCAAACTATGAAATATCTGGCGAAAATTCGATTCTCGAAAATCCATAAGTAAACCTTTTTGTGAAAAAAGTCGTCAATTAGATTTACTGAAATGATAGTAAGAACCCTAGCTTCGAACCACAAGTTAAACCATTAAAGTAAAAATATTTAGTCGTAATTTGATATCACTATCTTTTAGAATTAATTAAGCCACAAGTGATATTGTCTTCACTAGACCTTGATCGATTAATCAATCATTTGATGAAAGGGATGATTGAATTACAAAGCGGGAAAGATAACAGTGCCATAGGGAAGGATAGATAGTTATGTTGAGTCCCTTGTGCAGATTGTGAAGCAGACTTCCAGACCTGATTGTTTTTTATTAAAAAAAAACAACAGGTGCAAACACAAGGCTTTTTACAAGGTTTTTCGCTATTGCAAAATTTTAAGCAATTGCAAATATGTGTCAGTGAAAGAGACATTTCTTATCAAAATTCTCTTTGTATGTTCCGACTCTTCTGAAGACTTGTCATTGAAGACAAAATGATTCGTGTGGAGAGAATAATTAAGGGCATTTTTCATGCCTTTAACATAAAAAAAACAACAACAACAGTGCACCTTTTTCTAAAAGAAAAGAGTATAATTATGCTTAGATTCATTGGTGTGAAATGAAGATTTCTAAGGTTTATTTCTATGCAACAGTGTGCAAATTTAGATGCTTTGCCAGAAGGTTGGCAGCCTGAGTGAATTCTTTGTCACTTCCTATGGCCAAAGGCTAGACTGGTTTCCAAATTCTAACATTCTTTTTTTATTTGGCCTGACCAGTCATCCATACAGTAAAACCACTTTCATCAAGCAAATGATTTTAATTGTAAGATATTGGCCCCATTTGGTATTCTTATAATCTAGGACATAATTACCTTGTGTAATAACCAATTCAGCCTGTAGTGTAGGTGTCTTACAAGGGCAAGTTAATGTTAAGAAGCTTGCAATCATTTATTCAACCCACCATGTTTGATTTGGAGATATAGGTGGTGGGTGGAGGGGGGTGGGGAAAGGCAAAAAGATGCCAGCCCAAAGAGGCTGTTGAAAAGCAAAGCACCCCCTGATTAGTTGCGCATCACTGCAATCTGGAAATTAGCATGTAACTGATCCTAATGAGCTAAATTAAAACCAGAAGCACTGTCTTGTGAAAAAAACAAAATACACACAGAACTGGTGAGTGAAATGGTGAAGCATTTGCTTGAGCCAGGAAAGAAATGGCTTTGATGAAACCTCCTCTGTAGTCACAAATATGAGCTTATATTTGCTGCCCTCTACATTTTTCAATCAACAATCCTTGAGTGTAGCTGCTGTTAATTTATTTGACAATGTTTCTTCCATTTGATTGTAAATGATACTTTGAAGCAGACAAACAACTGCACTCAAAGGTTTACTCACTATAATTTGTTTGATGGAAAGATGGTATATTATATTCTGATGGTATATTATATTTTGTTTTTTTTTCTAATCAATAATAGAAATGGCTTCACAAAAACCTTCTCAGCTGATGCAAATACAAGTTGATATTTGCCCAACTCTATACCCTTGAAACGACAATCTGCAAAAGCAGATTAACAAATGAAGATTATAGTGATCTTTGCAAGGATAAACACTACTTAACCCTTTCACTCCCAAGATCTGATTAGTAATTCTCCTTACTATCTGCCATACAATTCTTATGATGTTAGTTCAGAGAATTTGATATTGAATCAACTAATAATCCCATGATTGATATTCTTCTCTATTCTCATCACCTGCCTGCTTGATATTGTATTGATATTGTAAGGAGAAATTCTCTCTTGGTCACTCGTGGGAGTGAAAGGGTTAAGCAATAGTGAAAATAAGGCCTTAAAAAAAAATGGAAGCTTTATTTTCACTACTACCTGAGTAGTGTTCATTACCACGAAGGTTACTCGCATCTTCTCTATTACATTACTGCAACTTAGAATTCTTGCTATACTAGAGATACATGCATCCATTATTTGCCATACAAAAATTCAATGTTATAACTATCAAGTTCTACTACCACTTCATCATGAAAACAATTGAGATAACATTCTGATTTGATTAAAACAGTGTGTGGCAAGGACTTGGAAAATATTGGATTTTTTGTGGAAAGCAACCAGTATTACTGTCCTGAAGACTTCCAGGAACGCTTTGGCACAAAATGCTTCATTTGTCATCTCTTTGTGGAAGGAGAAGGAATCAACATTGGTAATAATGCATATCATTTGCGCTGCTTTGTTTGCACTGGTTGCAGGTGAGGTTTTTTTTTAATGTTCTTTATTATTTATACTTGAAAAACAACCTTTAACTGGGACCATTAAAATTTAAAACAAAGTATCAGTGATTGTCAAGCATGAGGGTATATTAGTAATGGTAAGACTGATTGGAGTTCAATTCAGTCTGTAATCATATGAGTGATTAACAAAATCAGATGATGGCAAGTATGAGAACAAAAATCTCATGGTGTTGTTGGTGTCATAACAACCAACCTATTTTGCAGTTGTGGACAAAAAAAATATGGTTTCTATTGCAAATGTCTCCCCTTAGATGATAGTAATCACAATGTATTTCAAATATAATAAAACAATACACTCTACCTGTTCATGCAATCCTTCATTTGATGTCATATATACCTATATTTCTTTAGATCACTCTGACACATCATCTCTTCCGTGTATTCAATGTATTCAAACACCATCTTTTTCATTTGTTGTAGAAATCCATTTCCTCCAGGAGAGAAAGTTGTCGCTAGGGGTAACCATTATCTCTGCCAACAGTGCAGTTCAAAGGAGATAAACAATGATTCAAGAGTACGCAAACTTGATAGTAAGTTCAACTGAAAATTGTGGTAAGGAAAGTTGAGTCAAAGCAGTTTAGAAAAATTTTATACCAAGATGTCAGACTGAATTTAAACTGCTTTGTATACATTTATGGGATAATTAGTTTTCCTCTGATTTTTAATGCTGTGAATTTCTCTTTAGGGTGTGCAGGTTGTGGAGAAGATATTCGCAGTGGCCAGTCATTGTTAGCTCTGGAGAAACAGTGGCATCTTTGGTGCTTTACATGTACAAAATGTGGCTGCTTACTGGCTGGAGAGTACATGGGCAGGTTAGTTCAATCACATATAATATCTATTTTATTTTCAGGAGTTTCCTGAAAAATTGAACCAGGCTGTTGTTACTTAATTGTATACAGTGCTGAGCCTCAAGGTTTAGAGTCAATCTGTTTTGTCATAAGTTGTGTTCTATGGAGATCAACCATTGCAACTGGAAACACTTTAACTCAGCCCTGCAGCAGTTGATAATCCAACACATAAGGAAAGGTGACATTTTTTTCCCAGTGAGTCCCCAATTCTTGGACATACCATCTTTTCTACATTTCTTGGGATAACTTCTTCTCTTTGGTTACTAAATTGTGATGGATGGGAGGTCTACAAGTCTGTTGTTTTTTTGTTATTTTTAGGGATGGAAAGCCTTACTGTGAGAAAGATTATCAAGCAGAGTTTGGTGTGACTTGTGCTGGCTGTGGTGGATATATCATTGGAAAGGTCCTACAGGTAAAGTAGCTATGCAGCCATGTTCAAATTTGTTGGGTAAACACATGTCTAAGGGGTTAGAATTGAATAATGACAAGAGGCAGGGGTCAGAATAAACCAGGGCAGGGGGGGAGGCTAGCTTCAAAGATGGATGAGATAAAGATGGATTACAAATTTTATGTTTGAAAAAGCTATACTTCACTGTACAAGATTCACAAATTGTTTTGTATTCCTTTAATCAGACGATAGTTGTTGAGTATTTTGTGGAGGGCCATCAGATAGTTATTCCCTAACTGATTAGCCTTGGACCATTAGTGCAGCTCTCTTTTCCTATTCTCAGTCCCCATTCTGTTTCCCCCTCCCCCCTCCCCCCTCCCCTCTTCTTGTGGCCCCATTCCTCAGTTATTTTTTCTAAAAATAAAAATGCTGGCTGGTTTGTTTGTTTCAGGCTGGTGAAAAACATTATCACCCTCATTGCTCACGCTGTGCAAGGTGTCATGGAGTGTTTGGTGAGGGTCAAGAGATGTTTTTGCAAGGTAAGGATCTATTGTGAAAGCTTTATAGCCAAAATCAATCCATTATCTTGAGGATTCTTTTTATGAGTCCTGTGAGTGAGCTGACCCAGTAATTGTGATCAATTTTAATTTTGGTTGATACACATTTGCAGAATTTCAGCCTATTTCTAAAGTGAGACTTCAAACTACTCAGGGTGATCAAGGGGCAGGCTTTCAAGTTTCATCCACATCAATGGGGTGGGATGGGGTGATTTTGTTGTAAAGTTACCAAACATTTAGTCACAGTCAGGCTGACAACTCATTCTCGTCTCACACTGGTTTTGAAATGAGAAAATAATCAGAAAAGATCTCAAGGACTAAGCCAGTCAAGTTCTCTTTGCTCATATGATGAGGCTCTTTGTGTGAACAGATGATGATCTATCTCAAATTTGTTTACAGGATCTGAAATTTGGCATCCAGATTGTAGCTTTGCAGCAGCTCAGAATGGTGAACTGGAAACAGACTCTGTGAGTTACTTAACTAAACTAAATCACAAACATGCTTTACAGAAACGTAACTTAAATTCTTTCAGTTATTGTTACAACGGTTGCAATTTATGATTTCTAGTAAGTCAATGCGAGATAAAAAAAAAAACTGTTTAAATTTTTTTTTGGTGGGAGATGCAAGTGTGCAGCATACTGGACTTCTGAACGAAGGTTTCAAAAATTAAGCTTAACCATGGATTATTGTGTAGTGTTCTTGGACAAGCAAGTATGAGTATGAGTGAGTATCAGGAAAACTTAGCAAAATACGTGGGGGAGCGGGGTGCCTGCGGTGGGATAGCGCTCCTTGAGAATTGGTTATACTCCTGGTTAATGGTATGACTCACCTTAAGACTCTCTGCAGCTCCGTAGTAGAGCATCCGTGTGCAGAAATCCGCAAATCTGGGGTTCGAGCCCTCGTGAGTACTTAGGTTTTTTTGTTTGTTTGTTTTTTTTTTTGTTTTTTTCTTCTGTGTCCCACGCTCGTGACAAGACGTGCAACATCTTTCTTTAACCCAACTTAATTTCTTCATCTTTTTTTCCCAGGGAGGTCCACGCAATGGATATCAGTATCCTGGTAAGGGCTTGAATTGTTTCTATGAGATGTAATCCGTGATATGCTTTGGTTCTGCTTCATGTCGTTCCGTGATTGGTCCAGAAAACTCGCGCCAGTTCCTGAACGAATCAATTTAAAAACTTAAAAGCAATCGCGACTTGGTCGCCCGCGTTTTTCCCGCGCTTTGGGCAGTTTGCTTGTTTGTACAACGAGTTCTCATTGGCTTCTCGCGATAGTTTCCTCTCTTCTGATTGGCTGTTGTGACAACTGTGATTTTGGTTTTACGACACTCAATCAAAATGCACTCTCTATGTGATATTACAAGTTAGCCACCATTTCCGAACTACCATGCATGGCTATCTATTTTCGCATTTTTTCTACAACATAAGCCATTTAAGTTTGATTAGGAAAACCGTCACATTTTCCATTTGAACAAAACAAAATAAACAGAAAAACGAAGTGTCGTTACGACAAGCAGAAAAATCAATAATCAAAAGTTCGTTGCGTTGTGCTACCTTAACATGGTGAAATGGCATAATCGTGTAATAATAATGGTCAGTATCTTTCGTATATTTCCAAGTTTATCAACTAATTTTTGTGGTACATTTTGTAGAGGAGGAAGCTCCCCGTCCCTCCCCTCCCACAAGAACTTCAGCAAGTCGCGTATCAGAATGGAAAGCGAAGTACTCGCCTCAGAAAGAAGAACAAACTTACAAGCCAGTGGCGACTTGGAGAGCAGATCAGGTGGGAGAATGAACAAGAATGTTACATGAAGTATATACCAGTCCGTAGAAACCATGTCCATCATTATAAGTAAATGCCAGACTTGGCTTTATGTAAAACAAATAAAATTTTCCTAAGCTCTGATCTTGGTCAAGTAAGGGGTAACTAACGAATGATTTCTCCTTTCGGTATCCGCAGACTGTCATTTAGACAAGTTATGGGAATAAATAAAAATCATCAGTTACTGGGTCCAACTGTCTAATTTTCGGAACTAACATTTAAAGAAATGTCTGGCAGATACATTGTAAGAAAAAGTATGGATTTGAGAATTAAGGATTGAGAGGGTTAAAAATGAAATTAAAGACCTTAATATTTCTTTAGGCGGAACAATCTCGGTATCAGTCAAGTTATACCTCGAACAAAGACACTGGAGCCTGTAAGTATTGGAACTGTTAATATCGTATTATCATGAACTGTAAAAATGGATGCTCATGAACCCCGTGACTGTTATTGCAATGCCCTAATTACTCAACTAAACGCCGCTGATAGAAGTTAAAAGACGTCACACCGTCCTGGAATAAACGCTGCTCCCATTCACAAGAACGCCGCGTTTACTCGAAGATAATAAGGAAATGATAGGGTTTAAAGGGTAGTGGCAGTGAGCTCGAAATTTTTTTGCTCTTTCTTGGAGCATTTATGGTAGATCCTGAACTAAGTTACGGTTAGTTTTTAAATTTTGTTTTTTGGAGGCCAAGGGTTACGGTTTTACAAACTTGTTATTTTTACCCCTGCATCTAGATAACAGCAGTTCATACAGAGAGATCACTGCCAGGCAAGAGGTAGGAAGGCATTTTTATTGCATTGGTTGCACTTTTGTATCAAGCTTAGTCAGATAAGCTCACCTATCTTCGGAAGGTGAAAGTAATTTTATTTTGAATGTTTTGGTAGTTTTTCTTCTTAGTTTTGCAGTTACCTCTCGTTTTTTAAAGTACAGTTTGAGTTTTTAAATTGTCAGCACTTTTTAAACTTAAATTAATGGTGGTCTGTTGTTGTTGCTGTTTTTATTTGCTGAGATTCTAGCAGCGTAAGCCTAATTCACTTTGTAAACTAAATTTATCGTTGCTGCTGTTTTTTTTGTTTTTGTTTTTGTTTTTATTTTTATTGCTGAGATTCTAGCAGTATAAGCCTAATGTGGTGCCTGTAGTTTGTATCTCTTCAATCACTGCTTGATTTAATTTTTATTTCAAGGCAAGTCTGAATGAATCACCACGGAGAATAGGTAAGTATATGCATGTGTTGCGCCACCGACTCCTCCCTTAACAATTGAAAACTGACTGTTGTTTCTCATGAGCCAAAGTGAGGTCGTTTCTTATTGGTTAAAAAACGAAGTGTCACTCTTTTTCATGAAACGGGAAAGTGAGACTAAAAGCTATAAACTCCGAACATACCAATTAACAACCGAAGGTTTCTTGATATACTCCGATTACCACGCGAAAGTCTCTCGATATACTCCAATGACCACCCGAATTATTTTTCCGTAGGTTCGCAAGACTCGTTAGATATGGCAGAATTCGAGAGAAGTGTCGACAAAAAACCTCAGGTAGGTGGTATTGGGGATGAAGGGGGACTGTAAGGGAGGGGCGTGGAACCGAGCACGATTGTGTGAGATGGAGGGCGCTTGACTAAGGTGTAATCCGTTCATCTTTTTGCACAGAGACAAAAAAGAAACTCAGCCTAGATACAAAAGTAATGTCGGGTCGTTGTGTTCGGCTCGTTTGTTGCGTAAATTTCGTGAATAGTTTTCTTTGGCATCTCAACAGATGTCCAGGAACGATCGACTTGCGCTACCTGAGTCTAATAGGCGATAAAATCACGGTAAAACTGATCAAACAGTTTACACGGGCCGGACATACAACATTCGACTGACAACAACTTTTCACTTAACTCTGACGATGACTTCCGCCAAAAGGCTGTGGAAACGTCAGTCATTACACTCGACAACGTCCATCTCAGGAGTACCCAGTCCCTCACTCGGACGATCAGACCACAAAATTAAGTGTAACTCACTGATTGATTTATTTCGTTTTGTTTTTTCCTGTTCGTAGATTTACGCTTATAAAGATCTCAAAACGACAAACTACAAGTTGCCACGAGAAGCGGATAAGACGAAACTCGAGGTGAGCATTTCAATATGTTGTTAGGTAAGCCGCATCGACAACAACAAAGAAAACAAGCATGTCGCAACAACTGTGTTGGTCTTGATGCTTTTATTTCTGCTCCGTACTCTGAACGTCAACAACTCGAAATCACAAAATTTGGCATATATTTAAAAACATTTTGACGGTTACCTAAGGTAATTTTTTCGTTTCAGTCTAGGTGAAATTGCACTCCAACGTCACATACTTAGATAAGACTTTCTCACGTAACCAAATGTGCAAATTTATGTTGAGTTCAGTCGAAACTTTGGTAGTTCATGAAAGTCGCATACAAAATGTTTGTTTAAAAATTAATATGTCATCCGTCGTCAAATATGGATCTTTCCTTGTTTTAGTTTACTTTGAAGATTGAAAGCTTTTGATTTGTGGTTTTTCAGAATTCTTTATCTTAACGTTGTATTTTTTCAGACGTATCTCACCGATGAGGAATTCCGTGAAGTGTTTACAATGTCGAGAGAAGAATTTTACAAGCTGCCAGCCTGGAAACAAGTGTCTCGCAAGAAAGAAGTTCTGTTGTTTTAGATATGGTTTGTTTCCACACCATTTATTTTGGATGTCACAGCTTCTAAGCTGTATTCTCTACAAAGAGCAAGTTTCAATCGATTGTCGGAAATAATTCGACTCTGCATTGGTGTTGCTTCAAATCGCCATGTGATTGGTTCAGAAAAATCGCGCCACGTTTTCAATCAATCAGGTGCAAGGCTAAACCAGTCGCGGCTTGTTTGTCCGCGTTTTCCCGCGCTTTAGGCTGCGCTTTGCTCTGATTGGGCGTTGAGATTACTTTGATTCGGTTTTACGACACTCAATGCAAAGGCGCTTCATTTGCTCAGAATGAAAAGAATTTGTGACGCATGGGTACATTTGAAGAATGTTACAACTTCTTTTGAAAATGTTTACAAAGTTATGATATCAGAGTCGATGTAGAAGGAAATCTTCAAACTTAAATGAAAGATTTCTCGGCCAGATATGTTCTGGATGGAAAACTTCCTCCTCCTCGATTATTTGAATCAAATTGCTTTTCCCGAGATGTGCTACTCTTTCAACTAAAAAACTAAATGTTTCTTGGAGTTATTTGTTTTCGACTTGTGAACCAAGATTTACCATTTTACGTTCTTAAACTGAAGAGTTTATCTCCACCCATTCTGGATTATTTCAGGTAAATGACCAGAAGTTTAAGCATTACGCGTTTACAAATAGGTAAGGTGACAATTCTAGGTCAGTGAAACTTATTTTGAAGAGTTGTTGGGCGTGCGAGTTTCTTTCCAATCGGAGAACGGCGCGAGTACTCAGTTGTTATGTATCTGGGCAACAATAGCTTGTGCAAAGATCAGTTTCTCAGATGCTAGTTCCCCGACATGAAAATCAATTAAGTTAGAGTCACATCTAAATTTTAAGGTAGACTGTCAATCGCGGGCGGTAGTCCAATTGTTTCACAAATTCACGCATTTTTAGTAAAAGAAATATATGAAAAATTTAATTAAGAAACATTAAAGAATTTACCTTAAATCACGTTACATAAGTGGATTTGAAATTAGAAAAGGTCATCTAGAAATAGTGGTTGGTACTTCTAGGGATGTATTTTATATATGGCTCGTGAGCCGGTAAAAAGGCCAAGAAATTTATTATTAAAAATGGTGGTTAAAATTAAACACGTATCCACTCTTTTACAAATGTTAATACGACAGGAAAACTGGCCGCCAACACTCCTAGCTACTTAGCATGCGTTACAGACCTTATCTCTTATCTCTGTGAACTGAACGTAAGTCTGTCACGCAGGCTACCAGTCACAAATGTCTGTAAGTTTGGAAAATCAAAATTGTTTATCTCGGCTAAACAACACCTTGAGAAAAAAGTGGAAGTTTTCAAATAACAAGAGTGCATTTTGTAGATGCTACCACAAATTTCCCGTTATTTCAATTCAATAGCTACATTTTTCGTCGCCATTTCTGAAGGATGGTTCAAACCCTTTTAACCAATTTAATTTGGTTAGTTACCTGAGACATGTGTGATCGTTTTCAATGATTTAACACGTTACAAATTTGATTCCAATTCTAAAGATTTCTGTGCTGTTTCGTTCAAGTGAAGTGTTTCTCTCTACGTACGCCATTAAAGTAATTTTAATTCAAGATTGTAATAACTTTTACTTTCAAAACTTCTACAAATGCTTCAACGCTATTTTGTGGAATTCCTTATTCAGCAAGATCATATAGGAGATTTTTGGTTGGGAATAGTTTTTAAGTGAAGCAGTATAATTGTGTAATTTTGGGAAGCTTTTAATTGAATAACTGTATTGGTGAAATTTAGCTATAGCGCAATTATAGTGAAAATAAGAAAATAACGTACAGCTTATACTCAGCTAGAAATTCTTATTATATCTTTGAATCAATAATAGTAACGCAAAGTAGTTATAAATGAATAATTTTAACAGATTCAATAATTTTAATATCGTCATAGCTCTACAGCTGATTTAATAAAGAATACAATAATGTTGAATAAATACACTTGAATTTTTTACATGGCTTTACTTTTTAATTGACAGCGTATTTTATCCAGTCATGAACGTCGACGCAAACGTAGGAATGTCCGCACATTTTTCAGGGACAAAGTGAAAGGAAGTCGTGTCTTTTACTCCATCTGTCTCAAAAAAAAAGGAAACAAACAACATTAAACCGCAGATACGGTGCAGAACATTGTTCAAACATGGATGACAACAACGAAGCAGAATTTCTCTCGATGCATATTACGAATCATTCGTTTATTAAACTCGACGTGAATTCTAAAACGGAGTTTTACCGTTTACAAATCCAAACATCGAAACGCTTTCCGAGATCTCACTTGAACCAAAATGTGTAGAAGGCTGCCTAATTTGAGTATTTTCGCTAAAAATTTCTTTACATGGCAATCTTCCGGCTTACTTTCATGGGCCTCAAACAGAATTAGATTCCGTTTGTCCATTATGAATATTATGGGAATGCTAATAAGTGCCACCTGCTGCATGAGATAACTCCTATACTGAAATTTACTATGGAAAAACTTTTCTTTCCCAGCAGGGTTCGATTTTCGTGAGCGCAAACTTGTAAATTAAGAGCAACATCCGAGGTTTCAATAACAGTTAACATACGCGGCTGCCGATGGCGTAGTAGGCAGCTGTGCCCAGAGAAGAGACCGTGAAGAGACGATGAAAACCAAACAAAAGAGTGTGCTCGCAGGCTGAAAACACGGTGGTAATTAAGATGTCTTATAGGCGGCCGTAAACCATCGGTGATTAACTGATCTTTGTTGAAACCACGTCAACATTGGATCAACGAGGTGTACTTTGAAGTTACATACGACATAATTTGCATTTTTCCCCAGTCTTTTTAGTTTCCATGGTTTCAATTATAGCCCTGACACTTCGCGAGAAAAATTAACAAACAGGAAAAATATTACTCAGAAAAAAGCCTTGAATAGGCCGGGTAGATTTGTCAGCCGGACGTTTTCTAGTCATTAAAGAACATAAATTCCACGTGAGGAAGGTAGGTTTTACTCGTAATGAATGGTTGACAAATTTTCATAAGTAACCGCGATATCTCGGCGGAAGATTTAGTCCGTGTACTTTGAATACACAAAGAATGATGTTAGCTTAATATACATTTTTTTTTTCGTATCAACTCTCTCAAAACAAGTGGGAAATAGAACTGTAATAAATGTAACTGATAGATTCTTCTAACCAGCTTTTTTCGTTTTGGTTTAAAACAAGTGGGAAATAGAACTGTAATAAATGTAACTGATAGATTCTTCTAACCAGCTTTTTTCGTTTTGGTTTATAATACCAGGTTCAGCGTCTGAATCATCCAGCTTTGAAGGGGTTTTTTTGACGTTGATATTTTTCTGTCTGAGTAGATGAAAGCGAAATCCCGAGGAAAATTTAACTGAAATAATTCAATTCATGCTTTTCGGACCTGACCATTAGACCATTATCTCTCATCGTGAAAATTTCTATTCCAAAAACAATGGCGTCTGGTTGTCTTTTTGTTAACGAAGCAGCGACATACCGGGATATCAACAACATGTTATGCTTAGCTTTTGGCAACAGTACATAGTAAATTCGTTTGTCTGGCTCTCGTGTCGACCTGGTAAGCGAAATAAATCGTCAGAAAAACATGAAACAGTCATCAAAAGAATTCGAACGCGAAGTCAGGAACGCCGGTCTTGGAATCCTTGTGGGGAGACTGTTCTTTCTTTCTTGGGGAGTTGACAAACTGAAGGAAATTAAGGAAAATAATACACTAGTGTCCGAGCTCGGATACTAGTTTCCGAGCTTGAACTCGATTGTCCGATTTCTCATACAAAAGTCACCTTTTGGACACGTGTCCAATTTTTGTCAAAAACAAGTGTCTGATCTTGGAATCTGGTGTCCGATTTTAGACACTAGAGTGCGATTTTGGACACTAGTGTCTGTTTTTGGACACTTGAGTCCGATTTTAGAAACTAGTATCTGATTTAAGACACTATTGTCTGATTTAGAACACCATTGTATGTGTATATACATATATTTGTCTTTGAAACAAAGGCAAAAGTGAAGTATAGTTTTTGCAGGATATGTATCCCATATCCACGAACTTGCCTGCAGTGTTTGAGGACCTTAATCCGTTTAACGATGTGGTAGACACTCGAGTAGCCAATGCACCTAAGTACGAAGATTACCTGCCTTGAGCTAAATCGAAACGTCTTCGTCATAAGCACCAGTATGTAATAGGCTATCGTGCTCATAAAATTGAACCTTTCCCTCACTCACTTTTATTTACTTCAGGATGCTTGTCCTAAAACGTTGTTTGGTGCGGCAGCTGTGTCGCCATCCAGAGGTCAGCGTTCTTTGCCTACTGGCCGGAATATTGTATATTTACACAATTTTTTCCTCCTCTGGGAACCCGAATCCTCGTTTCCTTCATCCTCGATTCAATAAGGTAAACAATTTATAGCATACAACTGAGACGAGTTCGTAATTGTTCCACGGGGATATTGCATCAGTAATACGCGCCGAAAGTTTTCCTTTCACAAAAGCTGCTCGCTATCAATTCCGTGAAGGAAGTTGTGTTAAGTGGATAGTATATGGCGTGACCTTTTTGTATCATTATTTAATATGAGAATGAGCCTTTCGTGTTAATACGTGTTAACGACTGGTTCATTCATGCCAAAGCACTTGGATAATTTGCTCTCGGTTTCCAAGCTGATACTCAACATGGGCCTCTCGCTCATCATAAATCATGTGATAGATCGAATTTAAAAACTAGTAAGTGTTGAACAATTTCAAATTTTTCAGGAATAGATATAATCTTCGGGGTCCATTTTAGATTAAGCTTCACCGTCACATATGAATGACGTCAACGACGCCACACTACCCCCCCCCCCCCCCCCCCCCCCCCCCCCCCCCCCCCCCCCCCCCCTCCCACCACTTCCTCCTATCGGAGACTTTGAGGAGAGTATGTGATCATTAGTATATGCTAAGAAAATGGAAAGGGGAACGCGTGCGGGATTTGCGCATTTTGTACTTGCTGCAGGAAGCGAGGTAAACACACTCACAGCGAGCCGCCGCCACTTCGCGGCTTGATAATTATCCACCACCAGCCACCAACACTGAGACGAGTGGTTGTTAACTGTCACTGCATGTACCAACAGGATCCGGTGATGGACAAGGCAATTACTGGCCTTTCAGAGCTAACACCGAACAACTTTGACGAGCCAAGGCCTGTTTCTCCGATAACGTTGGAGGTTAGAAGTGTTGTATGGCTGAAGTCGCTATAGCTTACGATACATTTTTCCTCAAACCCATGGAATATTTAAGTTTTGCAGAAAATGTCTAAGAAATTTTATGTAGTTCCTGTTAAGTTCGTCACTAACATTAGAGAGCCATTTATTGATATTACAAATTACAAAGATTTTCCAGTCCAAAGGGTTCACACAGCACAATGTGATTTCCTAATAGCGTTATGTGACTAACGAGAAAAACAATAACAAAGATGACATCATACCACCAACAAAAATGACCACAAAACTAATATTGCCCAACAACGGAGAGGCCAGAAGAATATTGGTTCATATGCAGGTAATTTAGTCTTGAATTGAAACGTTTTCATTCAAACCTCTTTGACACCTGCTAGATGTCAATTTCAATTCATGAAAAAATTTGCGGAAGGTTATTTAGGATAGGCTCTTTGTAGAACAAATTGCAAGGATCAGTTTATCTCCTCCAGTTTCCAATCTGTTGTTTGAGCAAGGATTTCAAAGTATTTCACTTCTTGCCTACTCTGGTTAAACTGATTTTGTACTAGATTCAATTGACCCAGGAGAATACAGGTGACGTCATACCGGCCGAGGTGACAATAGCAGAACCTATAAGGAGTCACGTGGCGCAGAGTCAGAACAGTGACGTTAAGCCAGCCGAGGTGACAATTGCAGAGCCTATAGGGATTCATGAAGTGCAGAGTCAGAACAATGACGTTAAACCAGCCGAGGAGACAACAACGGAGCCTATAAGGATTCATGCAGTGCAGAGTCAGAACATTGACGTTAAACCATCCGCAGAGACAACAGCAGAGCCTACAAGGAGTCATGCAGTGCAGAGTCAGAACGATGACGTTAAACCAGCCGAGGAGATAACAGCAGAGCCTATAAGGAGTCATGCAGTGCAGAGTCAGAATGATGACGTTAAACCAGCTGAGGTGAAAACTGCAGATTCAGTGAGGAGTCATGCGGCGCAGAGTCAGAACGATGACGTTAAACCAGCCGAGGTGACA